TTTATATACAATAAATATTTTTTAAACAAATAGTTGTAGGGTATATTCATCCCGACAGCTATCTTTCATAAATGTCCAGTAATAAAATGCATTCACATTACTTGTACATCATGCGCCAAAATGTTTACTCTAAAATGAGTAATCTCCAAAACTAATCATATTTTCCTCCATTAAATTAACTGTAAGCAATTACTGGTGTTTTACTTATAGTCTTAATTTCTGTGATGCTATAAAACTCCAAAGAAGTGGAAGAAAAAAAGCAATTCCATCCCCAGGCCAGAACATATGCATGCAACTACAGAGGCTGTTGGTACCACGGAGATAACACATCAGTATAGGAGGGGAGGGAGGGCCTTGCCGCTACTGTGCAAAAGAACTTCTCATACTCTTTCTTCACATGGTCCACATTTTTAAATCTGAGATAGTCTCATGTTTCTCCTCCTGTTTGCATGGACCACCTTCTTCCTCGTTCACAGTCACATAACATCTCTGTCAAAATTACAGCAATTGCTTACATGGAAAAGTCATACCAGAAAATATTTAGGGTATTATTACCTGTCTTTTAATGCAATTCAGGGTGCTGTAATTAAGGAGGAGAATTTGGCACCATGACCTATTTCAGCAAACAATGTAAGCATGTTCTTAAGTTGTATAAAGAATTAAGCACATATTTAAAGTTAAGCATAGGCTTAAGTGATTACCTGAAGTGGGATGGATTGCTCAGCTGGGCCCTAGGTGAACATTTAAATGTCTGTGCCATACCAGCAACTACTCTGCAGAATTTAGGAAGATCTGCTGTAGAGTGATACTGCTCATTTAGGATTCAGTCCTGTTAGGTGCTGAGCATTCTAGAGCAGAGGTTCTCAAACTAGGGCTGCTGCTTGTTCAGGGAAAGCCCCTGGTGGGCTGGGCTGGTTTGTTTACCTGCCATGTCCACAGGTTCAGCTGATCACGGCTCCCACTGGCCACAGTTTGCCACTTCAGGCCAATGGGGGCTGCAGGAAGGGCAGCCAGCACATCCCTCAGCCCGCGCCACTTCCCGCAGCCTCCATTGGCCGAGAAAGGTGAACCGCGGACAGTGGGAGCCACGATTGGCCGAACCTGCGGACATGGCAGGTAAACAAACCGGCCCGGCCCGCTAGGGGCTTTCCCTGAACCAGCGGCTGCCCTAGTTTGAGAAACACTGCTCTAGGCCAGACCCAGCAAAGCATTTAAGCATGTGCTTAACTATAAGCACATGAGTAGACACAAAGAAGTCAAATAAGGAGTGACAACAGTAGACTAGGAAAAGCACCTCATTTGCTCTGATATTTAAGAGCATATTAGTAAGAATGAGCCTAAGTCAGTGAGCTTCATAGACATCTCCAGGCCTTAATAGGTGTGTGACTGAATGCACCCCTGTATTTACATCCTACACACCATTATAATAATCTTGGTACTAAATATGCCTTGTGAGGTATCATTTGAAAACTAATAACTCTCTGATCAATAATATCATGGTAAAATATATATAGCAACATTATATGTAAGCTTATGAATATAAGCTGAAGTTATGACTGAAATGTGTTTACCAGACAAGACTGGGAGGGGGTAAAACAATTTGTCAAAGACAAAGGACAAGCTGTCATTTCCAGCCAGGTGTCATCAAAGTTGATTGACAATCATCTGTCAAGTGGTCATTCTTTGGCAACAGAGGGGTGCTGGAACAGATGGATCTGCATTTTAACAAACAATATGGAACCTCTTCCACCACTAGACTCTGTCTCCATTCTCACAACTTTTAAGTTCTAGTTACTAGAAAGGATTTTCATCTTTATTTTCCTTGTAACATTTCTGACTTTAATGTCTTTGTAGTTAAATTTTTTTGTTATATTCTTTAATCAGATCAGTGTTGTCTTTAAACTGAACTGTGTGTGTAACTCCATTTAAGGTAGCAAACGGTTGTACATTGTCCCCTTTCAGGGGCAACAGACCTAAAATATCTGAACTGTTCAGGAGAGGGCTGGACAGAGCAGAACACATGTTTTCAGGAAATTGAGGACTGGGAGTGTGTTGGGATAACCCTGCAAGTAGTAACTGAGGCTGGTGGAAGCCAGAATGTGTCTGACATGTGGCTGGCAGGCTTCAGCTATACTCAGACCTGCATGTTGGAAGGCTGTTTGTGAGCAGTCCAGGTGGGAGCTATAGCAACAAACCACCCCAGGTTGCAGGACAGATGGTGTAACGGGGTTGCACTCACCTCTCGTGAGTACCCACTGGCCAAGCACATGTGCCTGCATGCTCTCTCTACCTGTTTGTGGTTGATCTTCACTGACTCAACTGTCCAGCCAAGTCATATACGGTCTGTCTGAGATAAAAGCAAAGCAAACCCCTTTTGAGGTACAAGTCCATCAGGGGGCTCTTTCAGTTTGTCCCTGCTCCGGAATAGAGCACTGCCCCAGGACTCCTTCTCTGGAGACAATGTCTTCGCCCTCTCAGGGCCTTTCTGGCCACAGCTCTTCAGCAAGGCCACTTCAGTTCAGTTCCCCTTCTGGGGTGCCTCAAAGTCCAGGCTGCTTTCCCAGTGGCTGGTGGGAGGGACCTGGGCCCACCCTCTACTCTTTATCCCAGCCCAGGGACCCTATAGATAGCAGCCATCTGCAATGTCCCTTTAAATAAACTGTATTGCTGCTATAATTCCCTGGGCGACTTCCTCGTGGCTACTGCACATTCTTCACCCTTATCTCAGGGCCTTGTCCTGGTGGAGTCCCAGCAACCAGCCCAGAACACAATCCATTCTCCTCCATCTCTAGCAAAAACTGTACTCACTCTGGCCCTGCAGCTCTTCTTATACTAGCCTGTTGGGCCCTGATTGGCTGCTTCCCACTCAGCCACACAAGGCAGCTTGGAGGACTTCTCTATTTCCCTTCTCTGGGGAGGGGTGTGGCAGGGCCACAAGACCTCAGCAGGGGGCCTCAGGGCCTAGTTCACCCCATCACAGGTGGTGACACAGCCCCTCACTGGTCTGGATTCCACCCTGGAATGTGATAGTATGTCGACATTACGTTGTCAACCTGGATCTGTGTGACCTGGAGTTGTGATCTCAGTGTTTTCAAGCCCACTCAGTGTCTTCAAGCCCACATTGTGTTGTAAACCCGGGATTACAGTTGCTGGACTTGGGTGTATCAGCTGTGCTGAAATGCCATACAACACAGTGCAGACCTTCTGACTTGGGTCTATGGCTTGAGCTGTATCTACACTGAAAAATGAGATTCTGACCCACCCCCTAGTAGGATCATAGGACCCGGGTCTTGAGTGCTTGTTGATCTGATTCATACTGATCTGTGTGTGAATGGAAAGGAGGCTTGGGTCAAAGCCCTGGCTTAAGGTATGTCTTCATTGTGATAGAACAATCTGCAGTACCAAGTCTCAGAACCTGGGTCAGCTGATTCAGACTCGCAGGGCTTGGGTGTGGGACTATAGAATTAATGTAGATGTTTGGACTTGGGCTGGAGCCCAGGCTCTGAGACCTTCCCCCACTCCCCCACACAATCTTAGAGCCCAGGCTCCGGCCTAAGCCTGAAAGTCTACACGGCAATTTTATAGACCCTGTAGCCCAAGCTTCCTGAGCCTGGTCAGCTGACTGTGGCCAGATATAGCATAGACATACCCAATGTGTCACATGCAGCCAAGAATAAGTAGAGTAAGGAAGTTAAGGGCAGAACCCTCAGAGATGGTGAGCATCCTCAACTCCCTCTTAAGTTTTTCTCACTGAAGTCCGTGGGAATTTAGGATGATCTGAACTTTGCAACTTTCAGCCTTAAGACCTGACCAAAGTCCAGTGAAATCAGTGAGAGGCTTTTCATCAATGGACTGTGCACCAGATCAATACAGAGCAGAAGTAACAATGTTGACTTTAAACTGTAAAACAAGGGTAAATTGGAAAACATGTCTGTATGAAATAATGTGTGCAAATCTCCCAGCTGCAAATATGAATCAATATGCATTTAGCAGTTCGAAAACAGAAGAATTTTTTTATGTACACTTTGTTTTCTACTGTGTTTCTGAATTAAGATGGTGGTTGGACCAGCTAAACTCCACTTTTTCTAGGGCAAGGTCATGAAATCTCCTTGGCCTTCCCCATGTTAAAACTCAGTTTTGATTTGATTTTTTAATTTGAATATGACAATTTTCTCACTGAGAATATTATCAAGAATTCATATATTCAGGTTTTTTTAGTTTGCTTATTTATATAGCTACTAGAAGTTATTGGCAAGTTATAAAATTTCCCTTTCTTTTATACTTGGCAAATGAATGGCATCCAAGCAGTCTGAGTTTTAATTTGATCAATATTTAATGAATTATAATTATCACTAGCACTCAGACTTTTGCAGTGCAATATACTACTGTGTAATGGTTAATCAAGGAGAGAAACTAAAATATTATATCTGGAAAATAGCTATCAAGTTTGTGCTAAAGAAATGAAATGGAGTCAGGTTATTAACTAAATTACAGATGTCTAATTTAATCATTTTTCTAGTTACCATTTTAAAATTTAATTCTGGAAGCATTTCCCTCATTTATATTTTTAAGTATCTGTGATATTTAAATAATGCACAAAGAGCTAATGATTTCTTTAGTACCAATGTCCAAAATCTCTGCATCTTTAACAGACTAATACTAAGCTATTCTAAGTGGGACAACGATGATAACATTTTGCAGTTTAAATAGGATTTCTCATATGTATGCTGGAAAAGTGCAATTAATTATGCTATCGGTACTGTTTATAGATTGCTAAAAGGATAGCAATGTAAATGCAGTTGGAAACAGGTAATCCTTTATGAATGAACATATCAGAGGAGAGTGTAATGTGAGTTCAGGAAACTGTTTTAATATTAAACATGTTTCACAAAGAGAAGATTTATTTTCTTCAGTAGTGTGGGCAAATCTTCATGTTTGCTAATGACCGTTTTCTTTTCAAATATACTCTGGATAGATACAACTACTTGTGGGACTGGGGACAATAACACAAGACAAGATGATTCAACCATCTGATCTCTCTCACACACTGGCACATACATGGGCTATGGACATTTTCAGAGTAGTTGATTGCAGCAGAGATGGGATCACACCTAAACCAAACAACAGAATTCAAATTTAGGAATGGAATTCTCAAGTTCAGATAGTCACAGTTCACATTCATTTTGTGGTGGTTTTAATACAACAGAATTATAGACTTTTCTCTTAAAGTATTCACCATGAAAGCAGTCCAGGAATCTTCCACATAGAGTGAACTCAAAATGTCTAGAACTATGGAATGGCATACAAATGTTCAAATGTGGTGTTTCTTATCCAGTGCATTAAATACCCCAATCAGCTGTGTGGGAGAAACTAGAGAATTGCTACACTCACAAATGAACTCACACAGAAAAATGATAAGAAACACAAAAAATGATTACCTACGAGTGAACACTTTTCATAAAACAGTCACTCCATATCTGACTTCTTAGTCCTTTTCCTCAAAAGATGAACATGGCAGCTTAAATTCATAACTATGCCACGAAAGCTTATGCTCAAATAAATGTGTTAGTCTCCAAGGTGCCACAAGGACTTCTCATTGGTTCCGGTCTTAATAAAGACACTGGATATATGGCTTACTACAACAACTTATAACCCACTAACCCCCTTTTTTTGTCCTATGACTGCAGAGGTGTAAATGAGTCACTTTATCTTGAATTGCCCCTTAGACTATATGTTAACTACTGGTGCTAAACAAACTGTTCCACCTTGTATTTAGCTGTGATGCTCTGAGTCCCTTTCCCAGACCTAAAGAAGAGCTCTGTGCAGCTCAAAAGCTTGTCTCTCACCAACAGAAGTTGGTCCAATAAAAGATACTACTTCACTCATATTGTCTTTCAGATAAATACAACAGTTTCAGCACAGTGTGGAACTAAGGCTATGTCTACACTACAGTGGTAAGTCGATTTATGTTACACAACTCTAGCTATATGAATAATGTAGCTGGAGTCAACATACCTTAGTTCAAGTTACCCTGGGTCTACATGGCGGGAGCGAGAGGAGAAACTGTCCTATCGACTTACCTTACTCTTCTTCTCCTCAGGGGGTCAACTGGAGAGTGATCTGCTGTTGATTTGTCGGGTCTTCACTAGACCTGCTAAATTGACCATCAGTGGATCAATCTCAGAGCATCGATCCCGGCTGTAGTGTAGCCTAAGAAATGGACATGGGCTTTTGCCATTCTGTAAAACATGGAAGTTGGGGCAGAGACCATCTTTTTCTTTGATGTTTGTGCAGCACCTATCACAATGAGGTCTTGGTCTGTGATTAAGGTGCTAGTGCAACACAAATTATGATGATGATGATGATGATGAATGATGTTTGAGCTCACAGGTGCTTAACACACTTTTTGTTGTTCTCAGTTGATGTCACTTACACACTCTGGGCCTGATTCTCAAGGGCTCTGAGCCTTGTGCAGTCATTTGTATTGGTTGAAAGTGGGTGCAAAATGTTACCATTCTGATTTATACACACTTTGCACTCACTTTGTACTAAGGTAAATGATGACACAGGGTGTAGGCTGAAGGACATCTGTATTTCAGGGTCAAGTGAATTGATAAACTCAACCTAAATCAGTTAAAATTACTTACACATAGTGAAATCCTGGTCCCACTGTAGCCTGTAGATAAGACATAGGTATGGAGTAAGGCTGTAACACAATGAGCCTACAAGCCTCAAGACCTGTAAGACAATAACTTCGCTAAACTAAAGAAGTCCTAAGGCTTAGCATAAGCAGCTAACCAGGAATAACCCGAGACCATAAGATATCACAATTATGACTAAACTGCTGACAGGTAACCACAAGATGCAAGTTGATATCATATTTGGATATTTTAAGTTAGGAATATTAGCAGATGTCCAACCACAAGAATACCATGGTAACTAATTGACATATATGCTAATGAGCTTGTGGTAAAAGGCCTAGTAACTTATGGGAGAAGGATTTCAGAGTAACAGCCGTGTTAGTCTGTCTTCGCAAAAAGAAAAGGAGTACTAGTGGCACCTTAGAGACTAACCAATTTATTTGAGCATGAGCTTTCGTGAGCTACAGCTCACTTCATCGGATGCATACCGTGGAAACTGCAGAAGACATTATATATACACAGAGACCATGAAACAATACCTCCTCCCACCCCACTGTCCTGCTGGTAATAGCTTATCTAAAGTGATCATCAAGTTGGGGCATTTCCAGCACAAATCCAGGTTTTCTCACCCTCCGCCCCCCCACACACAAACTCACTCTCCTGCTGGTAATAGCCCATCCAAAGTGACCACTCTCTTCACAATGTGTATGATAATCAAGGTGGGCCATTTCCTGCACAAATCCAGGTTCTCTCACTCCCTCACCCCCCTCCAAAAACCACACACACAAACTCACTCTCCTGCTGGTAATAGCCAGGATTTGTGCTGGAAATGGCCCACCTTGATTACCATGCACATTGTAGGGAGAGTGGTCACTTTGGATGAGCTATTACCAGCAGGAGAGTGAGTTTGTGTGTGTATGGGGGGGGGGGGGGGGTGAGAAAACCTGGATTTGTGCTGGAAATGGCCCACCTTGATTATCATGCACATTGTAGGGAGAGTGGTCACTTTGGATGGGCTATTACCAGCAGGAGAGTGAGTTTGTGTGTGGGGGGGCGGAGAGTGAGAAAACCTGGATTTGTGCTGGAAATGTCCCAACTTGATGATCACTTTAGATAAGCTATTACCAGCAGGACAGTGGGGTGGGAGGAGGTATTGTTTCATGGTCTCTGTGTGTATATAATGTCTTCTGCAGTTTCCACGGTATGCATCCGATGAAGTGAGCTGTAGCTCACGAAAGCTCATGCTCAAATAAATTGGTTAGTCGCTAAGGTGCCACAAGTACTCCTTTTCTTTTTATGGGAGAAAGGCACCCCAACATAACCCTGCCAAATCACAGAATGCTGACTGGGAATTAATACATAATCAATAGATCAGGCAGCATCACTGAAGTCAGTTGGAGTTTTGCCACTGATTTTAGTGATTTCACCCATAATTTCCCCCTGGAATGTATGCCTAAACTACTAATCTAAACTACTATGCCCTTCCTCCCCTTACAAGATCCAGGTTCCCCTTTGCCATTTGCTGGCAGCTGACGACTGGAGAAAGCTGACTTACAACTACAGCTTTGGGACTAACTGATTTTTCAGTTCACCTGCAATTCTGAAAAATTTAAAAAAATATTTTGGGGTTTGGGTCAAACTGAAAACAAAATTGATGAATTAAAGTACCAAAATAAAATAAAATAAAATAAATAAAATGTTGGGTCAAACAAAACATTTTCTTTGACCAAAAACAAAGTGTTTCCTTTTGATGTTGTGTGGTTTTTACAGTTTCTTAATATTTTTAAAATAAAATTGAAGGAAGTTTTTGCACAAAACTTGTTTCAAATAAAAATATTTTTCAAAACCGTCAAACTTTCATTTTGACTTTCTTTTTTCTGAATTTTGTTTTTTTTCTTCAACATTAACAATTTGGCAAACGTGACACAAATTCACAAAACATTGTGGGATCACTGAATCTGCATTTTTCACCCCCCCCCCCCAAAAAAAAATTATGTCCAAATATTTTGTCTTTGAAGTTGTTACCTTGGTTTTTCAGGAGCGGACTGATTTAACTCACTGCACATCTTTGGTTTCTTGGATATTAGCAAGGTAGACTAGCTGCCCACCAGGTTTCCAGGATGATCTTCAGAGGGCGCAGTCAGAGAGGAGTGGGGGTTACAGCTTTCCACCCTTTCCGCTGAAGAAGGCGCCAAAGGATTAAGGGGGTTAGGTATCCCATGAGAAAGAAGGGAAAGGTCACTGACTTGGTTACTTGAAATTAGACAAACTTGGTGTGATGGGGTGTTCACCCCACAGCAGCCCCTGAAGGGGTAATGTTGCTAGTTGGGCCAATTAACTGCCTAGGCTGCACCTGGAGGAGGCAGTTCAGGGAACAGTGAGGACAATTAAAGGATAAAGTTCATCTGGAAAGCAGCAGGCGGGGCTTGTATAAAGCCAGGTAGCTGAGGGCAGAAGGGGGCTACAGGAAGGAGGTTTGCATTCACCCTGTAAGACTAGGGAGAGAAGGGAGCTTGGTCTGGAAGGAAGGGCACTCTGGATGAGGGGGGAGAAGGGACAAGATAGAGGCAGCATAGGAAGCAGTCTAGGAAAACAGCAGTAAATTGTGAGACAGTACAGACCTTATCTACAGGTTATAAGGTTCCTGGGCTGAAACCTGGAGAAGAGGGTGGGCCTGGGTTCCCCTACCAGCCACTGGGGAAATGGCAATATTGAGGGCAGTGAATTGGAAGCTTCCCTGGGATGGTTGATATAGAGAGACTTTGGTACACACCCCTTCTTCCCCCAGAAGGGGTAATCTACAGTAACCTGGCCTGAGGACCAAGCGGGGGTGGGGGGGAGAGAGTGAGCACCCACATGAAGACGAATCAGGCTGGCACAGCTATTCCCCAACCTTGGCCACAAGGAGTCACTTCAGGGGTGACTAGATCAGCCCATGGCACTTAGGTTAGTTGGATCTTGTTTTTAATGATAAAATTATTCTGATTTTGTGTTTTGTTTTCAATCAATATTTCACACAGCTTTACTTCCAATACATAGATAACATGACATATTCTACCCTGCACTTCCAAAGTCATTATCCTGCTACTATGTGCTGTATTACATTTAGTTTATTTGGATCCAATGGCTGCAGGCTGACAATGTAGGATGAAAAATTTAACAGCTAGGATAATTAAAGATTAGAACAAGTTACCTAGGAATGTGGTGGGGTTTCCATCACTTGAAATCTTTAAATCAAAATTGTATGCATCTGCCTGTCTGAAAGATATATGTTCTAGCTGAACCAGAAGTTATGGGTTTGATGCAGGAATTCCTGGGTGACATTGTATGGCTTGTTATGCAGGAGCTCAGACTAGATGATCATAATGGGTCCCCTCTGACCTTAAAACCCATGCATCGTTTTCATAAAACTAATAATACGAGACACAAGTGAACTATGGCTTGATTCTTACATTTTATTGATGTAGAGAGTGTTTCTAAAGTCGATGGGGGAAATAAATAGGAGATTCTTATCCTGTGCTACATTAGGCAAGGGATGGATAAGGAAGTGATTTTAATATGCTACTATCTTTTATTTTTCTATGCATATTTATTCCAGGAATGTATTTGATGTTTTATTTCTAATTAGTAGAACTTTGTCTATAGGTAAATATTGAATATACTGTGGCGTAATTGGTACCCTGAGAACTGGCAGTTATATCCAAATTATTTAGTATTTCTTCCGGACTTATCAAATGAAATGATTCTAGCATCACAATAATGTGTCAGATTGAAATCTCATTCACCCAAACTTTTGCAATGTAGTGTCTGTTTCTTGTCATGGACAGTGGAGGATCATTACATTGTCAGCATCCTCCCATATATATAGAATAATGCTTTGTGGTTAACAGGTGGTTAGCCTATTAAAAATCTAAGATGAAAAATGAAGAGCATAAAGATCCCAAAGATGCTGCTCCTACTACTACTAATAAAACAAACCTCAGTGTATTCTTCTGAGAGAAGGGCTAGTTGGAACATTTTTGCTAAAATAGTCTATTGGTTTCCACAAGACTTTTGTCAGACGAGAGAAAGAGAGTGACTCTATAGTTCAGTGATCAGGGTTCTGGGATGTGGGAGACACAAGTCCAAGACCCCACTCTTTTGTGATTCAGAGCAGAGTTCTTCATCTCAGATTACTCTGAATCAGGAGGAGTAGGGACTTGATCCTAGGTCACCTCATGCCATGCCCTAACCACCAGGCTATACAGTGACTGACACTTATGCTCTTGTTTTTGTAAAAACGTTCTAGCAGTTCTTTGTTTGTTCCAGTATGGAATGAAACCACATTTTGAAACAGAATTGTCATCCTCCAGCCAGCTCTATCTAATGCTACCAAATGTAGGGTCCAATCTTGCAAATTCTTAGTCACATGAATAAAGCTATTATGTGTTTGCAGTTTGAATATTTGTCATAAATCATGTTTTAAATAATGCACTTGTATTCTTCCTATTTCCTAGATGTCATTACACTTCGTGAAATAAATGCCTAAGTTCTAATATTATTAATATGTGCCCACTACAAGTTCTGCAACTGACACTATTCATTACATCCCAATTAATCATCTGGAAAGAACCCAATATCCCATTTCAAGCACAGACCAATAACTCCTGGAGAAATTAAATCATCTTTCAGAAATATTTCATTTCTCAGAGCTAATAATACTATGTAAATGGATTTTTAGAACAACCTGAGCACATTACATAGTCTTTCGGTAGGGTTCTCTATCTCGTGTATTAAAACTTCATACCACATTTTAAATCTGCATTTGCTGCAAAATAGATTACAGCATTGTTTATAAGGACTGGTACCATTTGCAAAGTTATAATAATATGCTTTGCTATTCATGGGAGAACTCAAAAGAACATCACTTACACGTCTAATAATGAAGAGACAGAGTAAAACACAAAGGGAAAAAACCCAGAAAATTCTCAGTTTCAGAGTGACATTTTTATCTCATCTTTTTTTCCCCTTCTCACTCATAACATAGCAGCGACCCACTTCTCCAATATCTTTTGCAATTTACTTTATTATTGTACTCATTGTTCAGCGCAAGGATAAGAAGATGAATGAAAAACACTAAGTATCCCCAAATCCTCAGTCCTGAGTAGTAGAAAGGAAAGAAGTCACATCTTATGCCTGGAATGGGAGCAGGGGAATTGTTTGAAAAGGGCTCCTTAAAGGCTGACAATAGCACACTGCTGTTCTTACAGGATTTTTAGCCATTAGGATTGAGATTAGTGCTCACACCCTAATCATCAGTGACGTGCAAATCTCTAAAAGTTTGGAGGGTGGGCTCACTCAGAGGCACTGCAGTCCAGTGGCTAGAGCACTGGGCTGGGCGTCAAGAGATGGGAGTTCTAGGCTTGGCTTTGCTGCTAAACTGCTGCATGACTTTCTGAAAGTCCCTCTGTAACATTGCACCCCATAATGCTTTATAGAAATATGCTTATGAGTGTAAATATGACATAACTGGAATATGTTTTATGCTAGATATGCCATGTAACATATCTCTGCAAAGGTTATGTTCTTCTGCATGTATTCATCCTATTCATATGCATGTATCATTTTTAAGTTATGAGCATTGGCTCTATGTTTGTATTTAAAATGTTTGCTGTAGAAAGCACCCAAGGCAGATTTGGTCAACATAGTGTGAAGGGGTTATTGAAGTAATTGGGAGTTCTTGGTTAACAATGGACCTTGATAGATGCCAATCCACATCTGAGCTTTCCTGGGAATGTAGAAAAGTAGAAAACTGAGTCATGCATGGACATGAGACTTGCCCATATGACTCCAAAACTCCAAGTCCAAAGGGGTATCCAGGGGTTTATATAATTTCTCTCTTGTGGGTGGAAACCCCTCCCCGCCCATGTAGAATCACAGCTCAATGTGGTGTTTTGGAGTCACATGGGCAAGTCACATGTACATTCATGACTCAGTTTTCTACATCTCATTCCCAGGAAAGCTCAGATGTGGATTGGCATCTATCAAGGTCTTGCTGTAGAGCTAGGAGCCCAGAAGCCATGGAATCCCTATCTCTAGCTGGGGCTCAGCTCCAGGCACTTCAGCAAAGAGCCTGAAAGCCCTGAGAACTCATCTTGAGCCAGGGCTCAGTCTAGGCTCCTGGCTCAGCAGCAGGGAATTTTTGCAGTGTGATAGGGTGGCAGAATTGGGTGCTTAGTGCTTCCTTTTATCAAAAAGGTTATTTGTAAACTTTCCAGAATAAAACTCCTTTTATAATTTTCTTTCTCTAAATTTTTTTATTAAAACCCAAGATGGACCTGTATTTCCTGAAAGCTCCGGCTTGTGCAGGTTCAAGGTTTTGGTTCAGGCACATCTCAAATATAAACACTTGTTTGAACAATTCTAAGTACATGCAGCAATGCTCGTGATGCATTCTGGTGAATTACATTTTGGAGAGGCAGAAAGATCTGCGTGTGTGTCTATCACAGCATCGTTGGCCTCCGATGACTGAAATAGCTGAGCATGGATGCCAAGGTGTCATAAATATAAAGGGAAGGGTAAACCCCTTTGAAATCCCTCCTGGCCAGGGGAAAGCTCCTCTCACCTGTAAAGGGTTAAGAAGCTAAAGGTAACCTCGCTGGCACCTGACCAAAATGACCAATGAGGAGACAAGATACTTTCAAAAGCTGGGAGGAGGGAGAGAAACAAAGGGTCTGTGGCTGTCTGTATGCTGCTTTTGCCAGGGACAGAACAGGAATGGAGTCTTAGAACTTTTAGTAAGTAATCTAGCTAGGCATGTGTTAGATTATGATTTCTTTAAATGGCTGAGAAAAGAATTGTGCTGAATAGAATAACTATTTCTGTCTATGTATCTTTTTTGTAACTTAAGGTTTTGCCTAGAGGGGTTCTCTATGTTTTTGAATCTAATTACCCTGTAAGATATCTACCATCCTGATTTTACAGGGGGGATTTCTTTATTTCTATTTACTTCTATTTTTTATTAAAAGTCTTCTTGTAAAAACTGAATGCTTTTTCATTGTTCTCAGATCCAAGGGTTTGGGTCTGTGGTCACCTATGCAAATTGGTGAGGCTTTTT